TTTGCCCATTATATTAAAGGTACACAACCGAGGTGAACCTCAAGTCAATGTAGAGGTTGGAACACCACTTCTTGAATCTTGAATTATCGAACTATTTTTTATTGTCCATTATTATAGATCGATGTAGACCAAATCTACATACTATATTCTTCCAAACAAAATTTTCAACTTGAGATTTGGTTATAGTAGCTAGGGCCTCAGTTTTGAGTCACTTTATGAAATAGTCAACTGCTACTAACACAAATCTCCTATACCCTGTGGTCAAGGTGAAAGGGCCAAGTACAACCATTTTTCATTGCATTAAAGGCCAAGATTGATGATAAGAATTAACTCAGTTGATGGGAGGTGTTGTATATATGTAAATCTTTGGCATTTATCACATTTCTTCACCAAGTTAGTTACATCTTTTATGATGGTTGGCCAATAATAACCTTATTAAAGTACTTTACAAGACAGTGGCCAAGGTCTGAGATTACTATCACAAATTCTTTTATAGATTTCTCTAAGCATATAATTTACTACTTCTTCATCTACACATCTTACATAAAATAAGCTAAAATATTTTTTATACAGTTTTTCATTGATCCAGGTGTATTGAGAAGCTTTCCTTACCAAAGCCTCAACTCAAACTTTATTTACGGGTAAATCACTAGTCATCAAATAAGTTTAGATTGGAGTCATCCATGACTCTTTTTCTTCAATTTGGCCTACCAATTTCTCATCAATGTTTTTCTTTGTTAACTCTTCCACCAAGACATGAGCTGAGCTACCAATTGCTATTTCATATGCCAGTTTAGATAGCGAGTCAGACAAAGTTTTTTTTGACCTTGGATTTTTTTACCTTGACCATGGATAATGTAATCAAGTGAACTAACGCCATGTCCAAATACTTTCTTATTCTTTTTTTTTTTTTTAGCTTTGAACTCTCTATTTATTTAGCTGACCATAAGTTGGTAACACTATACATAATAATGCTTTTTTATATTCAGCTCAGTAATAAATCTTAGTCTAACAATTAATGCCTCATATTCAGCTTCATTATTAGAAACTTTGAATCCAAACTTTAAAGCGTATTAAAATTGTAGGTCTTTTACACTGATCAAGATTAGGCTGGCCTCACTTCTTTGATTAATATCTTACCTATAACAAAAAGCTTCCATATTTCTTTTTCTTTGATGTCATCATCAATTTCTCTGAACTGTTCATCAATCTGAGCTAAGGTGCATTTAATGAGAAAATTAGCTAACACCTACAACTTCAAAGCTGACTTAAGGAGTATATGTAAGTCATATTCACTAAGCTCTACTATCCATTTGATTAATCTTTTTGATAATTTTAGCTTTTATAGCATTTGCCAAAATGGTTGGTTAATTAGAATAATGATTATATGAGCTTGGAAATATGGCCTATGCTTTTTGGTTGACGTGACAACTACGTAAGCTAATTTTTCTATCCTAGTGTAGTTTATTTTGAACTCTATTAGAACTTTGTCAACAAAATATACAGGTCTTTACCTTTCTTTTTCTTTTCTGACTAGTACTGAATTGATTGCTTAGTTGGTTGTAGTGATATATAGATATAAAACTTCATAGGGCCTTGGCTTAGAGAGGTTAGGGGAAGAAGAAAAGAATTCTTTCAGCTTTTCAAATGCTTTTTGACAATAAGATATCCATCTAAATTTTAAGATTTTCTTAAAGATTTTGAAGAATGACAAGTAATGATCTATCAATCTAGACATAAATATGCTCTAAACGGTTATTTTTTTAGTTAGCCTCTGCACTTTCTTTACTGAGGTCAGTGTTTTTTGGTGTTTGCCTTTATGCCTTTTTGTTAATTATGTAACCTAGGAATTTTCTTAATGTGACCCGAAAGGCACATTTGCTTGGTTAAGCTTCATGTTGTACCTCCTAAGAGTGTTAAAAATTTTCTCTAGATATTTCAAATGCTTATTCAATTTCTTACTCTTTATAATCATGTTATCTACATATAATTTCATATTTTGACCAATCTGATCCTTAAAGACTTTGTTAACCAGTTTTAGGTAGCTTACTCTTACATTTTTCAAGTTAAAAGTTATGGCCTTATAGCAATATAAGCCTTTTTCAATGATAAAGGCTATTTTTTCCTTATCCTATTTCAACATTTTAATCTAATATAGCCAGAGTCAGCATCCATAAAGCTGAGTAGGCCATACTTGACACTACAATCAACCAGCTGATCTATGTCAAGTAGAGAAAAACTGTCTTTCGGGCAAACTCTATTGAGGTTGGTAAAATCACGCATATTTTTCATTTTTCGCTATTCTTCTTTACCATTACTACATTGGCAATCCAGTTAAAGTAATGGGTCTCCTTAATAAAGTCTACTTTCAGTAGTTTGTCAACCTTTTCCTTTATTACCTTCTACCTCTTTGGGGTAAAGGTTTTTTTCTTTTACGAAATTAGTTTCACATTTAGATCAATGTGTAATCTGTGGACCATTACTCGAGATCTATGCTGGGTATATAAAGTGGGGTCCAAGCAAATAGGTTAGTGTTATCTTTTAAAAGTTGAATTAATTACTCTTTATGATTGAGCTTCATTCTAATTTGCATATGTTTTTCAAAGTTATTTTCCTAGAACAATATAGAGACAAGGTCTTCTATTGGTTCTACTCGATTTTCATCGATCTTTGGTCTTTGATCAATTCAAAATTTACAAAAGTTTTGTAACATGTATAGTTACGAAGCATAGGGGCTCAAAGCGGCTTTGAAGCACGTTTTTTTTTCTTTTCAGTTTCATGTTGCTTCTTACTAAGGCTGTCTTGCTTTGCGTCTTTAAATTCCCTAACCTTTACCCCAATCACATCTATTTTCTCTGTTTTCTTGAATTTTGCTAAATTGTTAGTTTTCTTTCTAGTCCTTCTTTTTATTATTGTCACATAATATTATCACGTCATGGACTGGTCTTCTTTGACCTCCCTTACTCCGTTTAAGGTCAAAAACTTAATCTTCAGATAAGGAGTTAAGCCGATTAATCTCATAACAAATTGGCTAGGTCGACTTAGGATCATGTTAAATGCAAAGGGAACATCAATTACCATAAATTCTATGATCAAGGTGATGTTTTTCAGCTTGGTGCCAAATGTTATTAGTAGCTTAATACCTCTCTTTACTAGTACTTGGTCATTCCTAAAACTGATCAAAGTGGTAATGAATGGCTTCAACATTTCTTCCTTGATGCCTATCATCAACATAATGGCATAATACAGCACATCAATCGAGCTCCTTTTATCAAATAGGATCCTCCCCACCATATGGTTATACATTATGGTAGTGACCACAATTATTTCATTGTGTGAGAACTAGATCCCTTCCAAATCTTTCAAGCTTAAAGAGATTGGCTTGTCTTTCCAATTTTTCTCTTTCTTGGCCAAAGACCCAATGGTCATAACTACCCCTAGACCAAACTTCCTCTTAGCCGAGATAAAGCTCTCATAAGTTATCACATTAAGGATACCTGTAATGGGCCTATTATATATAGCTCAACCTTCATCTTCTCCTTGCTCTTTTCTTTAGTTTTCACTTCCTTAATTTTCTTCTTCTCTATCCTTTTGATTCCTTTATGCCTATGCTTTGTGGTTACCCTTTCCCTAATTCAGTTTACCCTAACCTTGTCTTGTTCAGTCCACAAATTTGCCCAATTGAGCTTTTCTAATTAGAGTTTCATTCTTTAGGTCGATGCAATCTTTTTTGTTATGACTAATGGCTCAGTGGAAACTACATTTTTTTTGTCAAATCTGTTCTTGCATTTTACCTAAGTGGCATTAGCCATCTGAGCTCGAAGTCCCTTTCTATATGCATCAAAATCTTCTCTTTGAAGGTTTTTAGTGTTGTGTATAGTTCTTTTGCCTGTTTGAGCTCTTAGCCTTAGGGTACCTTGGTTGTTTCTCTATTAAGAGAGGACTATAGATTTTTTCCTTTTTTTATAGTCGAGGAGGAAGGTGAGCCTCTCTCATCTCAAGTTTTCATTGTAGCTTTAGCATTTTTTTTTTTTGCCGACGAGTAGCATATCGTCTAATGTCTTTAGCAGTTCTAAGGAAAGTGTGAGCTTCATATGGTACTCTTTGTCATTGAGTCTATTGGTCAGGGAAACAATTGCTGCAGTTTATTCTAAATCTTTTATTTTGAGGACTTCTGTGTTAAAATACATTACATAGTCTTTTTAAAGACTCATTTCTGCCCTGGTGGATTGGCATAAAGCTCAAGGTAGTCGTATTTGTTCTTCTACTGCTCACAAATTGGAACAAGAAAATGTGACTAAGCTTTCCAAAAATTGTGATGGACCTCAACTTTAAATTGTAGTACCAGGATTGAGCTGCCCTTTTGAGTGTGGTAGCTAGTCATTTGCATATAAGTGCTTCATTTGCCCTTTGCATCATCATGTTAGTTCAGTAAAGCTTTAAATGGTCAAAAAGGCTAGTAGTACTATCATAAGTCTCTAAGGTCAACAATTTTTAGGGGCATAGTTTTGTCAATCTCTTTGATAAAGGGCGACGTCTTTAAAAATTTGAGCTCGTCCTCAAAGGCAACAACCATTCCTTTCAACTCCTTCTCCATGGTCTCCATTATAGCTTCTAGGTCTCTTTCGGTTAGGGCTTTAAGTTGAAGGTGAGGGATTTTGGGGTAGCCTAATGGTCAATCTTGTAGTCAGGATGACTTAGTAGGCCAACCTGACCTGGATGCTGATCATCCACTCAAGGAATGACAAGTCAACATCAAAGGGGGTCCTTTGGGTAGGTTAATGAAGTGGTTGAGCTGATATGTACTATGCATGTTAGGTCGGTCCAAAAGTCATAAATGTCCTTGGTTGTCTGCTAGCAGTCTCTAATGAAAAAAAGATCACTTTGCCCTTTTAACCCAAAAATACCCGTAACAAAATTGAAAAAGCATGTTCGATGTTTTGATTTTTGAATTACCACAACAGGTAGTCAATTGCTAAAAAAGGGAAGGTGATGTCTTAAGGCAAATTTTCATACAACGGTTGATTTCTTCTAAAGCTAGTCAGCTCCTCTAGGCTAATTTACGAAAAACAGTCGATTGCTTCATAAATCAGTTGATTGCTCATGCCTAACTTTTGCTAAAAAATCACTCGAAAGTTAGTGACCGATTAATCGTGAACAATTGCTACGGCAGTCCGCTGCTCTTGCTAGCCGTCTGTTCTAGTCAAGTTTCACTTCAACGCTATTTTTGGTAATATATATCATAAATAAGAGCAGATTGCTCCATATAACAGTTGATTGCTCATAACTAACTTTTGGTAAAAAAATCACTCAAAAGTTAGTGACAGATTTATTCATGAGCAATTGCTACAGCAGTCCGCTGCTCCTTCTAGTAGCAGATAGGGCAGCTCTCAGCTCTTGTCAAGTTTCACATCTATATATAAAGAGATATGCATATTTCCTGCAACATTCTAAATTTCTGCATTAAAATTCAAAACGGAAATCCTTGAGAATCTCTACATCAAAATCCTAAACGGAAATCCTTGAGAATCTTTTACTTTCAAAAAAATAACTCTACTTCGTTTAGACATGTAAAGCAAACAAGCGATAGTTGGCCAACAAATTGTTTTAAACTATAATAACACACCTCAAAGTTTAATAAGCGGCAAAACCAAATCAAATTTCCAAACCATTGTTCTCTTCAGAACTCATCTGCAAATGACACGCCAAGGAGAAAGAATTATGTAAATGTTGTAGAAATAAGAACAAGATGAAGAAGAATTTGAATGTGTTTCCTGCGAGAGAAACTAGAATACTAGTAAAAACCAAGTTGAACAATTCGGAAAGCTCTTTAAGCTATTACCTTTAATTTCTTGTCTAGGAAAGCAATATATAATGGGGTTGAATAGTCAACATGTAAGATTAAGTTTATTTTTTATTGATCAACATTCAGCTCTTCTTCATTAATATTCTAGCTACTGTTTGGATCTTTGGGAATCAACCTTATCAGAAAGCTGCTGTTGTTGATTCAAGGAACCCACACCAACTCTCTGCTGCCCCATCTGCTGGTAAAACTGGCTAAAACCTTGAGAATTCGACACTCCAAAATGCGGATCTTGCGAAAGCCCAAGCTCCAAAGCTGGAACCTGCTGATTACTGCCATTGAGCAGCGACGAAAAACTCACAAAACCCATATTCATATTTGGAAATTCAAGCCCATGTAGCCAGTATTTTGAAATATTATTGGAGTTTTCGCTGCCAAAATTTGATGCTGCTGTGGATTGCTCTGAACTTTGAGCAAACCCTGATCCAATTCCATTAATAGAAGACCATGCCCCACTTGGAATGTAAGATCTTCCTAAATTTCCACTCATCACTGATAAGTTGTTCCTATCTATGGACCCGATAGCAGGCCCCAGTCCTTGGATTTTTGTATGCAAACCTGCTGAAACAGAGTTCCCCTGCTCGCAAACAGAGGCTCCAGCTGTCGCCAGTGCTGAAGCAGGAATAGTCCCGGTTCCAGTAGCTGCTATGATCGATGGTTCTGATTGCTGCAATAGCCACTGAATCGTCTCTCCATCGGATTTGTGACCTAATTCTCGTGTCAATTGAAAAATCCTGGCTGCGCATAGAGCTGGTATCCTTATTCTTCTACCTCTCCCGTCTACTTTCTTGTGCCTATCTTTATTTGAGCTTCTCTTGGGTGCTAGTTGTTTCTTGTTATCATCTTTGCTTGCAATCATGATTTGGAAATTTTTTATTTCTGCAGGCTTCTTGTTCTCTGCTGCGTCTGCTTTTTGTGAAGAGTCAAGAAGGTGGGCACCTCTTAGTGGATGATGATTTGAGCCATTAGGTTCCATGTAAACAGGAGAAAAAGGAATTATGGGGTCTCCTTGATTGGAAAAGGTGACCTCAATTGGACTTTGCTTCTTACCCTTTCAATGTAATTGCTAAATGTTTTGGCTTAGCATTCAAATATTGGAGCCACACAAAGTTTCAATGAAGTTACCACTCTGATTTTATGACACCACAACGCAAAAGTTAAAACTCGTGTATTAGTTGTTCTAAAAAAACAATCGTGTACTAATTTACACCGTTAATGTTAACAAACAAATAAAGTAATACAAATAATTATAGTCTTAACATATTTCATTTAGGTTAAAAATATCATTAACCCTTCAACTGTAATTATTTTTGAAAATGGTTATTTAATTATTAATTTTTTAATATAATCACTTAAGTTGGAGTAAGTATTTTTTTTGTTATTCAACCGTTAATTTCTAACGATATTTCAGTGTGCTGACAGGTCATGTGGTATTATTGATGTATAATTATAAATTTTGAAAAAAAATAAGAAATTGAAAAATAAAAAATGAATTATATTTAGATCATTTAATTTTTTTTAATAATTTTATTTTGATCAATTAATTTTGAAAATTTATAATTTGATTACTAACAATTAAGTTCTCAAATTTTATAAAAAAATAGAAATAAGTATTTGTTATTTTGATTGTATGGAATTAAATTATAAAATTTTTATTTTATTGTAATTATATCATTTAAATTTAAAAAATTGATGAATTTTATCCATTTTGCCAAAATCTCTAAAATAACATTATTTCAAATCTTTGTTATTCAGCCCAACCGAAAAATTCAAGTAAATATTTCATATTTCATAATGTTAGGGTTCTAATTACAATGAAAGTTCATAGTTTTGATTTTATGCAATAAAACATTAAAGGATATATAGATAACAGAAATTTATTATAATTAGAATCTTAACATTATAAAATATGAAATTTATTAATATTTTTTGTCTCCATTATTAATGGCTTTTTGTTAGTGTGAATTTATAATGATTTTAACATCAATGTTTTTTAAATTTAATATAATAAATTATTTTATAATTACCTATTGAAATATAGATAATACTCAAATAAGTCATTAAATTTAAAAAAAAATAAATATTCAATATTTTTTTTGCATGAAATTAAATTATGAACATTTATTTTATTATAATTATATCATTTAGATTTTAAAAATATATAAATATTAATCAATTACCAAAATTACTAAAATATGATTACTTGAACTATTTGTTATTCAATTAATCCAAATAAATTCAAGTATTTTAAATCTTACAATTTTGTTACTAATGTTTTTGAAATTATTAATATTAGTATCTATCATCGTTTACGTAACTTTGTAATGATTTAATTATCAATGGTTTATGAAATTTAATAATAAATTATTTTATTATTTCTGCTATGTATGTTTCTTTTAGAGATTATTTTATTATTTCTACTATGTATGAAATTTAACAATAAATTATTTTATTATTTGGATGAGTTGAATGAGAAAGATTTAAAATAATGTTAGTTTAGCAATTTTGATAATAGGATAATGTTCATCCATTTTCGAATCTAAATGATATCATTATAATAAAAAAAAATTTGTAATTTGATTCAACGCAATAAAATTTTCAAATGTTTATTTCTATTTTTTTTATAAAATTTGAAGGCTTATTTATTAATTATCAAATTATAAATTTTCAAATTTTAATGATTGAAATAGAAATTATTAAAAAGTTGAGTGATAAGAATGTAATTCGTCTCTACTTTTTAGTTTTTAAAATTTATAATACTATGATAACAATTTTATGTAGTATGATAAATGATATGATAATGTTATTTAACACTTGAAAGTTAATGTGATATTATCATATTAACACGTCGTTAAATATTAACAATTAAATAATAAAAAATATATATATTCAAACTTAAATTATTAAATTAAAAAAATTAATAATAAAGTGATCATTTAAAAAAGAAATCACAACTGGTTATCGATAATGTATTTAATTTTAATATTCTCCATCATGGATGGCAAGCAATAAATGGGAATATCGAAGAGTAGGTCATTGATTTCCCTACGGTGATATAACAGGGGAATCCAAGTAAAAATGATAGGACGAAACCCACCGAGGATAAGCATGAGACGATGTATCCCCACATTTTTAGTTGGTGATTTTCAAACTACTCAGACAACAAACCGTCAAAGTCTCAAATATATATATATATATATATATATATATATATATTTGAGAATCCTGTTACTAAAAATTATGGCAATCATATGTTTATCATATTTCTCGCTGTTTAAAATTATATTAAAGATGTATTTAAATGAATGGTGAGATTAAATTTTGTAAGATTAAAATAGTTGTACCAATCAAATTGAGTATTATAGTGATAGATTGAGTACTATAATGATTAGATTAAAATAAATAATAGTATATGTATTTTGATATAAATGTAATGATAACAATAATGTGAAATATAATAAATAAAATAATTATTAAAGATATTAAATTAAATTTTATATAAAATAAAATTTATAATATATATGTAATATTTGTGTAATTAATAAATAATTAAAATTTTTATTATTTATTTATTAATGCATTTATTCAAATATTTAGTATTTTATTTATATAAATTTTTTTAGCTAATTAAATAAAAGCATAATTGAAAACCATAAAAAAGAAACAAAGTAACAAAAAAAAAATTAAACATGAGGGATTAAAGAGAAATTGAGAGTTGCTGTTGTTTCACAGAACCTTTGAGGATTCGGTGCCAAAATTAGATACAACGCGATTGAAACATGTCCACTGTGCCTTACTATAAGTATCCAGAATCATACTCAGTGAGATTGGCAGTCGCAATCGCACTGAACTGGTCTCAACTCTCAACCGAGCATCCAAATGTCTCTTAAGCCTTTCATTAGAATAAATATGCCTCGACAAATGTAGTGGTTACTAATTTACTAAATTTCATGGGAGGGAAGAAAAACGGAAGGGAATGGGACCAAACGCAGTTGAGATATGAAGCCACGGCAAGTGGCCAGGGCTTCCTATAGCGAGTAAGTGGGTCTTCGGACTGACATAATATTTAAGAATATTATGTAATTTCATAAAAAAAATTATTATTTTTTAATTTTAAAAATTAATGGTTAAATATTACTTATCTAAAACTTTAAAGTTTTGTATTTATGTTATGCATAGGATATGTATATTTATAATAATTTTTGTAATATAATATTATTTAAAAATTCAATATAATTATAATTTTAGAGAATAATTTAAAATTTATTTTCATGATTACAAATATTTTGATAATGATTGATAAAAAAATTAAGTCACCCTAAATAATTTTTTATCATTATTTTGTTTACAATATAATAAATAATCTTGATTTGATTATTAAAAATAAAGCTATTAAGTACAAAAACCAAAAAATGTAATAATAGGTTTCTTTTTTCCGATAAAAAATTATTTCATTCATAAAAATTTCTTCAAAAAAGGTTCCATATATAAACACAAAACAATTGTAACAACATCTAATAATTCGCACAATCTAATTTCTTCAAAAAAAAAAATAATAATACACACAATCTAATCTCTTTGAAATCTATTACCAATGGGTAAAAAATAATTATTTTTTTTCACTCCCATCACTATTAAAGAATCAATAATATAGTTTGCTATTTTGCTTTTCAAAAGTTACGGGCAAAATTAACAATTTCAATTTTGCTTATAACAATTAAAAACTCTCCATTCCTTCCAAAGTCATGAATTTAGGTTAATATTTAAGATATAATTGACACTTTAAATTTAATACCATATATATTCACATAATTTTAAAGGAACATAGAAGTAGTTAATTAGATAAAATTATATATTTAAAAAAATCAATATAGAAATAAAATTTGTTATTAATTGTAGGACTTTTTTGTAATATTAATATATTAAATTTAGAATTTAATTGTACACATGTTTTCTTCGAATGGATTAAGGAGTTGTATTAATGTGTGTGTATGTATATATATATATATATATATTATAGGATAAATTATATAAATATATATTACGGTTAAACGCGATTTGAGTTTACCTTCTAATGTTTAAAAGGTGATACTTAACTACCCTAATATATATATATATATATATATATATATTCATGTCGATTTGTTAATTTTCACTAACGCCGTTAATGCCTAATCAAATAAATCCCAACTATTTCTCCAATTTTTTTTTTTTGCTATTTCTCAAATTCAAACTTTTCAAAGAAAAAATTTTTTTCCTTATTTTTCATCATCAATTATTTCTCTCTCTAAAACTAGGCAAATTCTCTCTTTAAAAACTAGACAAATCAAATTCTCTAAAACTAGACAAATGGCAACAATTTTGACAGCAACCAAACTGGAAATAAATGTCAATGGGCAATTAAATTTTTTGTGAAACTAAGGTTTTTGAAGCTACTATTTTAGCTTTTGATCATCCTTTTCTCAAAGATCACACAATCTAGGTTTATTCTTCAACTCATCTCTGTTGTTTGGCAACACTTTTTCATATGGTTGAAATTTAAAGATTGGTTTTTGCACCGTTGTATTAGATGAGGCCTAATTACCACCTAGAGGGCCTTTTTGACAAGAACAAGTTTTCTAACACTAAGAAACCCAAACAATGCTCAAACCCCATAACTCAATTATCACATGAATGGTAAATGTCTCCAAGAACCATACCCATCAGACCATCAGAAGAACAAAGGAAGAAGATGTTTGAGGCAAAAGAACTATACACATTAGACCATTAGTCAAAAGATATGGTAAAAAGAAGCATGGGCCATCCCTCAACCTAGGTCCACAAATCTTGATTGGTTTTCAATTTTCATGTTAGTACAAGTTTGAGAGGAGACTTAGTCTTATAACAAAAATGCAAGAAAAATCAAGAGATTGAGAACTTCTAGTTTTAGAAAGAGAATTTATTTGATTTTAGAGAGAGAATGAATTGATGATGATAAAGAAGGAAAAAAATAAAAAGTAACGAAAAAAGTAATAGTTTTAGGTAAAAAATAATAGTAAAACAAATCGTAGGCTAATTAAGTGTCACTTTTT